GAAAAAGAAGACCTTACTGACTACAGAACAAAGGGCTGGCTACTCATGAAGAGTTTAGGAATACAGTTAGGTCACGTAGAAAGAAAATTAGAGAGACAAAGGCACACTTTGAAATCAGTCTATCCACTTCTGTTAGGGATAACAAGAAGTGCTTCTACAAATACACCAGTAGCAAAAGGAGGGGCAAGGAAAACCTCCATTCTTTGTTGGACATGGTGGGGAACATCATCACCAAAGATGAGGAAAAGGCTGAAGTACTTAACACCTTCTTTACCTTAAATTTCAACAGTAAGACAGGTTGTCGTGAGGACAGCTGGCTTCTGGAGCTTGTAGACAGGAATAAGAAGCTGAATAGCACCCCTGTAATCAAGGAGGAAACAGTTAGTGGCCTGCTGAGCCACTTGGATCCTCATAAGTCTATGAGACCAGATGGGGTCCATCCTAGGGTGATGAGGGAGCTGGCGGAAGAGTTCACCAAGCCACTCTCCATCATTTACCAGCAGTCCTGGCTCTCTGAGGAGGTCCCAGACAATTGGAAGTTGGTGAATGTCACGCTGATCCACAAAAAGGGTTGCAAGGAAGACCTGGGAAACTCCAGGCCTGTCAGCCTGGCCTCAGTGCCTGGCAAGGTTATGGAGCAGATCATCCTGAGTGCAATCACACAGCACCTTCAGGATGGACAAGGGATCAGACCCAGCCAGCACGGGTTAAGGAGGGGCAACCTGATCTCCTTTTATGATCAGGTGACCCACCTGGTGGATGAGAGGAAGGTTGCAGATGTGTCTATTTGGACTGTAGCAAAGCCTTTGGCACCGTTTCCCACAGCATACTCCTGGAAAAGCTGGCAGCCCACGGCTTGGACAGGGGCATTCTCGTGCTGGGTTAAGAACTGGCTGGAGGGCCGGGCCCAGAGAGTGCTGGTGAACGGGGCTGCATCCAGCTGGCGGCCGGTCACCAGTGGTGTCCCCCAGGGATCAGTGCTGAGTCCAGTTCTGTTTAATATCTTTACTCGATGATTTAGATGAGGGGATTGAGTCCACCATTAGCAAATTTGCAGATGACACCAAGTTGCGGGGGGGGGGAAGTGTCAATCAGCTGGAAGGCAGGAGGGCTCTTCAGAGGGACTTGGACAAGCTGGAGAGATGGGCTGACTCCAACGGGATGAAGTTCAACAAGGCCAAGTGCCGGGTCCCGCATTTTGGCCACAACAACCCCCTGCAGCGCTACAGGCTGGGCACAGAGTGGCTGGAGAGCAGCCAGGTGGAAAGGGACCTGGGGGTGCTGATTGACAGGAGGCTGAACATGAGCCAGCAGTGTGCCCAGGTGGCCAAGAAGGCCAATGGTATCCTGGCCTGCATCAAGAACAGTGTGGCCAGCAGGAGCAGGAAAGTGATTCTTCCCCTGTACTCAGCACTGGAGAGGCTACACCTTGAATATTGTGTTCACTTCTGGGCCCCTCAGTTTGGAAAGGATATTGAGGTGCTGGAGCAGGTCCAGAGAAGAGCAACACAAGTGCTATGAGGAGAGGCTGATGGAGCTGGGGTTGTTTAGCCTGGAAAAGAGGATCTCAGGGGAGACCTCATTGCTCTTTACAACTCCCTGAGAGGAGGCTTGTAGCCAGGTGGGCATTGGTCTCTTCTCCCAGGCAATCAGCAGCAGGAAAAGAAGACATGGCCTTAAGCTCTACCAGGGGAGGTTTAGGTTGGATATTAGGAAGAAATTTTTTACAGAGAGAGTAATCAGACATTGGAATGGGCTGCCCAGAGAGCTGATGGATTCACTGTCACTGGAGGTTTTTAAGATGAGGCTGGATGTGGCACTGAGTGCCATGGTCTAGCAACCACAGCAGTGTTGGATCAAGGGCTGGACTTGATGGTCTCAGAGGTCTTTTCCAACCCAGTTGATTCTATGATTCTATGAATTATTAAAGGGAACTAACTCAATAAATACAGTGGCAACTATTGTGGATAAACTGAAATTCTTCTGAGCTACTGAACTACGGTTCTGAGCACGTAGATTTCCCTCTGAACATCCGTCAGGCCAGACTCGGTTTCTAGTGCATCAGTTTGTTAGAATATTTTGTCATGTCAGAATAGAATTATGTGTCCTCATTTCAGCTAACGCAGTGTTAATCATAATTGTGTAATCAGTATAAATCGAAAAGATACATACACATAGCAGAAAACAGTGAATTGAGATTAAAAGCTATGGAAATTATGGGGTTAATCACAAGCAACTCACATCTTGATAGTAAACTCAAATTGCTCCTGTTGACACTGATTTTCAGTCTGATAATTAACATGGCTCCCTTTTTTTCCTTTAACCTACTTTTCTAGTGAAGACATTTCCAAACAGAAGCTAGAGCTGTGACAAAGAGGTTTTAGGGAATTGGCCACTGGATTAAAATTCACCTTTATGTAAATAAGCCACATCCTGAGAGATCTACATTTTGTATCTACATGTATTATGGGGTTTTTGGGTTTTTGGTTGGTTGGTTGGTTGGTTGGTTGTTTTTTGGTGGTTTTGGTGGGTTTTTGGTTTTTTTTTTGGTTTTTACCAGTGCTTTATTGCATGTCTATTTTATTTAGAGGGCAAGAAGCTTTCTGTTTTGACTGACTTAGCTGAGACTACTTATATCTATGACGGATATGCTGCTGTGAGACAGAAGAGAAACTGTCAAACAAAAGGAAAATCAGGATGGAAGAGCACCTATATTCTGTTTTCTTCACTATGATGTTCTTAAGAGGGCAAAATCCTTCATGTTCAGGCCCTGCCTCCTCTGTACATCTGACATATATGCCATTTCACTGAGCAGATAACAGAGAACGTGGTTTTTTATGGCACCATTTTTTGCACCATAGGCACAGGGCTCTTTTGAGAGCAAGACAAATGGTTCTGTGGACATGTGCTATCAAGAAAACAGATTTCAGTCAAAGTCAAGATGTATCAATTTGGTGAATGTTTCATGAATCACTTCTATTTGAAGTCAGGGTTGTGAACAAGTATTATTGGAATGTTATACAGATACCATGTGTTTACACAGTAAAACCTGACCAAATCAACTCTTTCAGTCTGACGTCCACATTTGCCCTAATCCCCATGAGCACAGCCATATTCCCATCATACAAACTGTGGCCTCCACTGTTCCTAGAAATCACATAAGTCTGCATCTGGTCTTTGCTTAGAGTAGACTGTCCGTAGGATAAGGGAGATAAATCTACCCTGAAAACGTCCGTACATTTGGAATCAAATATGAAATTGTATCTGAGCTTTGTTTTTTGTGCAGTTCAAAGCACTTCATAAATATGACTCATACAGTATTTGGCCTGTAAGATTCAAGTGGGGATTGTTTTAGTGTTTGCTTTAGTTTTTTTAAAAATCCTTGGTAATACAAATTGAAGTAGTGATACAAAAATTTAAAAAAAAAAAAAAAAAAAAAAAAAGCTGTGTGAAGTTTCAGAAAATTCATATCCAAAAAAACCTCAAAACTGAAAAGTATCTACAATGCGTTTATATAATAACATCCACAATACTTCCCACTGTGTTTATTGAGTTGGCTCCTTTTTATAATTATTTGGCTGTTTCTAGCAAGGACCCATGAGAAGGAGGAACAAAGCTCCCCTAAGGTCATTATTTTTCAGGTTAGTAAATTCCCAGCATTCCTTGGTGTCACTGCCAGCATTTTTACTAAGTCAACCTGTTATTTTCACCATTAAAACACATCTTAGTAGATACGGGTAATAGAGACTGACTTGGCAGGGATGACTAAATGGATGGATGGAATTCAAAGGAAGCTTGAATAACTGCCACACAGACAGCATTTACACATACATGTTTTAGAAGTCTCACGGAAATCCTACATCCAGGTGAATAATAAATAAAAGCATTTGTTCTTTTGGTGGTTACTGGTGGCTCTGTTTTATTATTTTCCTGATGGATGGCTAAAAAGTAGAAAGTGTGGCAGCAGGACATCATTATGATAGGTGAACATCTGAAAATGTACAGCTTTAGCTAGGTATGTCTACGTTTCTTCCTTGCCCAATTAAAGGTTCACTCTTTGGTATCTACTAAAATTTGGATGAAAGTTTCATGTGAACAGGCTGTCTCTCTGGATTTCTATACAATATTTTCTGCTCTCGCTTAGGCTGAATAGGCACAGAGAAGAGTAAGGGATAATAAAAACAACAGGGAGAGTAGCATTGGCTATATAAAAGCTATATAATTTCAATAATTGAGATGGAAATTAAATAATAATAAAAAAATAAATAACATCCAAATGCTTTCTTTCCTTTGTCCTCCACAAATCCTTTTAACTCCTTTTGTCTTAATTCCTTGTCTTACTCTTGCTTTCCAGTGTTCAGTAATGTATGTTTCCTTTGACCTTTATTTGTAAAGCTAGGCCAATATTTTTAATCAAGTGTTTACAGTCAGATGCCTAAATCTATATTAAGCATCGAAATAAGGCTTGCATTTTAAATGAGTCAAGCACTGAGTCAATAGCGGTTGTGGCCTCTCAGTACTATTGAAAAATAGCCCAGCTCTTTAGATGCCCAGTACTCTACCCACGAGCTGGAAAATGTTTGCAGCCATTTTGGTATAATTCTTACCTTCACTGTGCAGTATAGTCTTTACATTAAGTAAAATTCTGCTATCATGCTGTACCTTTCGTATAAGAACACTGGAGCCTTCATGGCTAACCCAGGTATTAGAAATAACTATACATCTAACAGACAGTTGTATCTTTTGTGGTTACACTTGCTGTTACAAAACCACTCAAAATCTTGTAATTGTGTTGTGTTCAGTGCACGATAAAAAGCTGGCTATACAACAAGAAGAAAACCATTATGTTATTTTGCTTTTTGTTAGGGAAATGGTGTATTAGTGGATAGGTGCTTCTGCTGAAAATGTTTGTTCATCTCTTGGATATGATCCTCATACTACCTGTCTTCCAGCTGTCAGTTCATGATTCAGGCAGGAGCTTGCAGGGATATGTGCATTGGCTGGAGGGGATGTCTGGAGGAGCTGGGAAGCAACCAGATGACTGACAGCGATTCAGGCGAGACTCGGCATGGAGGGGGTAGGTACAGAGAAAAGCTAATCCTATAGAGGGAGTTGAAGGCTTTTTTGAGGGAGGATGAGGGAGGTAGAAAGCATCTGAGGGATTTGCTTTAGAGAGAATTTAAGGTTACATCTGCATCTCTCTGCAGCTGAAGGAGCCTGAGAGCGAGTTAGTACAGCACATATTATCAGTTACACCAGCACAGTGAAGCTGATATGGTTATGTGAGGGTAGCAACCCATGTGAACACTCTTATTCCAGAATTATTAATTCTCTTTTTTTCCAGTTTAATGTAAATATTGTGTAAAGCTGAAATGTTGATAGGGTTTGTGGTTTTTTCTGTTTTTTTTTTGTTGTTGTTGTGGTTTTTTTAAAGAAAAAGAAAAAAAAAAGAAGAAACAAGCATTTTTGCCAGTAGAGTTAACGACGCAGGATTTTAATTTTATGTAACTGAAGCTGTTTAATTCAGCCCTTGCAGTATCTTGGTGTATTTCCAGCATGTGTACAGCTCTGACTATACTGTTTTCCTTGCAATAACGTTAATATTAGCTAGAAATGGAGACCTGCTGGAGATAAAACCAATGGCAGATGAGCTTAGCTAAAAGCAAAAGCTACAGTCTCTCAGATAATACCACAAGACAGCTTGAAAGGCTAATATATCATGCAAATGGTGGACCAGAATCATTTAGGCATAGATGGTCTGTGGGCTGTACAGAAGGAGTGAATCTTTCTGTATTCAGCTGTGCATGTGTGTGTGCGCGTCTCACTCCCCCTCCACCCGCTCCTCTCCCTCTGTCTCTCCCAGACAGGCGAACAGATCTGCTTCTTCCTTTGTGTTGCCAGTCAGGTCCTCCCTCTGCAGTCTTACACAGGAAGAAGATTTATAACAGCTGCATGCAATGCCAGTGTCTCAAAGAGACAGTATCACGCCATGTGGAGGATTTTCATATGGGGTTTAACTTTGCTCCACTGAATTGGAAAGGTACATTTTTTTAATCTTAATTATTTTAAACACTTAATTCCTGTGACTTTTATCTCCTGCTAAATTGTGACCTCCAAATACTATCATCTTTAAATCACAATCTGTTGTCACAGTACTGTAATGGCTGTGATGTCTTAATTGAAAACATGGGGATGTAAGGATTTCAAAAGTATAATTAGGGCACATTTCAATGTGAAGCTGTGAGTGCTGTTCTGTAAGATGGGCATCTGATATTTCTGCCATACTGTATCAGAAATATAAGATTCAAACTAGAAAATGAAAATACAGCACACATGCAATGCAACTGTGTACCATATGTTAAGAAATGTGCACCTCGTAAACAGCGGACTAATTAGCTAGAGAAAACAGAGATGTCTGAATGATGATGCTAGAAATAAAAAGGATAATGAAATATCGAGACAGACTTGTGTAGGAGATCCACCTGGCAGCAACTTGCCAGGTTTATCAAATTAAATGAAATCAAAGGAAAAATTATAGGTGAGAAAAAATGAATGTAACAGCACTGTTTCCCTTTGTTTCAAGCTCTCAGTTGCCTGCTTCTTACCTCCCTGACTAGTGGCATGTGTTATAATTAACGATGAGGGAAGCATTAGAGTCAGAAAAGCCCAAAAGCTTAGACATGTTCCCTAGATTTGGAGAAAATCTCTATCAAATTTGACAAGGGACACTTTCTTGGGTTGTCTCTCTTCTACCTCTCTAACAACAGGAATACAAAATTAAAATAGACTTCCTTCTGGCATTTCACTTCTTAGCCTCCCTGCTTTCCAAAAGGGAACACACAAAGTTGAATTATTTGATTTCTAGAAATTCCTAGAAGGGCTAACCTCTGTCAGTGTCTAGGTTCCATGTTAGTAACAGAGTCCGTCTTCAGACGAACCTAAAATCAGAAAATATAAAGCCTGGATAAAAAAATCAGGAAGAGAGGCAGTTGCACTATAAGAAGTAAAACACCACACAGCCGGCTATGGCAGGGAAGGGTCTGTATCTAGTTTTTCTAACTCAAATACATGCACTAGTTTCCTTCTTCTACCCTGTTTTCCCTCATCCCATAAAGAGCATATATAAACATGTTGTATGTGATTTGCCTTAGGACTTCTCTTCCCAGGGTCAATGAGCTCCAGAAGAGTGTTCACTGTATTCACTCCCTGTTGGTTTTCAGCAGCAGGAGGTCCAAGACATGCTTATTCTTCTTTTTGGAGAAACATCACCAGAATCTAATTCCACTATTCACTCAAACCTCCGGTTTTCCTCAAGTGTTGTCCACCCAAAACCACTCTCATTACATTGCTCTTGAGATCTACTATAACGAGTGTTATCAGGAGAATGCTTGCTTTTGTTCCTCCTGATTACTAGAGCCTTTTGTCTCCAATTTCTACAGCTAGTCCACCGGTAGTTTTAGTTGACGAAAGCTGCAGAAGGGCTGACATAAAGATTCCTGCCCAAGTGGCATGTTAAGTTCATATGCTGACAGCTGTTTAACCTGTAACAGTAACTGTATCCATTCTAGTGTGCTAGGAATGCTATGGTACCTAGCTTGGAGTAACATTAGCAAAAACCCAATGACATCAGGGAATGCAGTCTGCTACCTGGCTATTATACAATTGTTTGCTATTGTTTAAAGAAGCTTGGAGCTGGTCAACAGAAAGGCTTCCACAGAATGAGCTTAAAACCTAACAGCCTACAGAAACTGTTCATAGCTGTGTGGTCTGCTTTTAGTGTAGGGTGTAGCTTTCTCCACTGCTAATTAAGCCTGTAGTATCTGAACTATTCACATGAAGTTCTTTCTACAAGTTACTCTGATCCAACAGATAAATTTATGCACACTGTTTACATATGAAATGAAACCTCAACATTTCTTAAGTCTACATGAACATCATCACAGTTAGATGTCATTTTTGATCTAGAAAACAATATCCACAGGGTTATCTTCCTTTATCTCTGGTCCACTGAGGTGTACACTGCCTGCATATGTCACAACTTTTGAGATCTTTTTGGGACAAGATTTGGACAAGCATCTCTTTGAAATCTGTACAGAAAAGGTGATTGTACACAACAGCTCACTTGAGAAGTACCAAACACAGTAAACAATAAAGAGGGGCAGAAGCTGTACAAAAGGCTTCAGTGTGCATGCACAAATACAGAGACACAATGTCTGTGCATGCATTTGCATTAAGTCTACATAGCCATAACGCTAAGTAAACAGAGCTTGAATTTCAGCACTGGACCTCTGGTTTTCACACTGCTTGACTTCATTCTGCTCAGTTTGCCTGGTGCAAGCTAGCACCCTGCCAGACAATTACCAGGCATGGGGATAGCATTTGCCAGGAATCATTCCCAGTACCCAACATCATCCTTGGTTTCTCCGAAGCTGTCTCAGGAGGTTTGGCACCATGACACATTCCTCCTGCCACGCACCACAGCGTGCTGCAAATTCTCTGTTTCATACCAGAAAAAACCCTGTGCTAAAAAGCTGCAATGTGACCCTCACGTTGTTTCAGACACTTGGTCCCCTTGAGGCGACACTCAAGGCCAAGTGTTATGTAGTGTGCCTGCAGCCACTCTGTGCCATTTAGCCTTACGGACAGAAAGCAGCCCTCAGCCCTATTTTATTTAGTGACATATATAGCCAACAAGACCTTCTGAGTTAAAAGTTACGGAACACTGAATGAGTGCAGTGTTGAGCCATGAGAAAGAAATAAAACTAAGACAAATGGCATATGTCTCATATATTTGTCAGAAAGGTTAAAAAAAAAGTATAGACCATATGAGAGACAAATGTTTGCTTCCCTTTGTGCCTTAGAGCACCGAAATATCTCAGTGGGATAAACTGAGTTTTTCTACAGACTTGTCACACCACAACAAAATGCTTAATCTCCAGAGAAATCACAATCAGGCAGCTAATGCTCAGTTGTCTAGGAGAATATTCATGCTGGTGTACAAGAGTATATTCATAGAGCCAGAATAAAGATCTTCCTATGCAGTTTATGTTGTTGATTGAAACTAGACAAGTTTCTTCTTTCCATATCAGAGATAAATCTGGTGTTTAAAAGGGGAAAGAAATAAACAAACCACCCCACAACCTTAAGCCTCATACCATAAAGAGCTGGGATTAAAGTAGGGGATTCAAGTATTCTGTTTAAATGGATAGAGATGTAAGAACATTGGTGATGCCAACAACCCTACGGAAATATTTAGCCAGGTTTAGTCTCAAACAGAGTATGTGACCTGCATTTTACAGGAACAATAGAAACACTGGGAATGCATATAGTTCTAGAAATTCCACAAAAGAATAAAATCCCTTCTGATTCATGTCACATGTAGCAAGCAATGCTAGCAATAGAACAATATTTGCAAATAGGATTTATAAAAGAAATGAAGTTGTTTAATAGAAGCTATCAGCCCATCAAGCTAAACTATTAAGACTGGAAGCCCAGAAAGGATTTAGCTGATTCCATTCAGGAAACATACTCTTGGTAATGACTGATGTAGATGTATTAAAAAATGTGTTAGATGATGGCCAAAAGACGAACTATGTCATAGTTATTGTCATATGTTCTTGAGGGCAAATAGTATTAAATAGCATTGTGGAAAACACTGTAGTAACATATCAATTCAGCATACAATCTAAAATGCTCATAAATAAAGCTTCAACCAGTGTTCATGAAACTGCTAAAAGTAGCATGACTTTCTTCACGTTCTTTATGTAGTTAAGACAACATTTCTGTTGTAGTTCCATGAAATCTGTAACCTGCAAATGCAGAAGTTAAAAAGTGTTTCTTTTAGAAATAGTCGCAGATAATGGTTGAAAACTCCATCATCAAGGATGGGAAGTTCAAAACCTAGATGATTCCAATGTGTCAGAATAGTTGGAAATATCAGGGCATTATGGAGTTTTGGAAAATAGCACCAATGAAACAGTTTTACCTGAAATAAAAGAGTATATTTCCTCTTGTTTCAGAAATAAAAGAATTTTAGTTTTTTTAATAAGGTCATAGGATACTTCAGGTTGGAAGGGACCTCGGGAAGGATTTAGTGTAAACTAGAGGATTTACTCCTTTTTTTTTGACAGGGGTTGAAGTAAGACTGAGCAGCTTGTAATCCTCCGGGTTGTCCTTTTAAAACTTTATAAAGATTTGATGCAGCTTGTTGGGTCTATGAGCATTTACAAGTTGAGTTCTCTTAAGTAATTCCTGACTTGATCCTTATCCACTGCTGGTAGTTCCTCTCTTCTCTCTCATTATGCTCAGAGGCCTCAAAGAACAAAGCATTGAGCACTTCAGCCTTACCAGAGTCCACTATTGCTGAATCATCCTTTTCATTCAGAAACCATTACACATTTTCCTTGTTCAGCTGTTTATTAATATTGGAAAAGCTCCTCTTGTTGCCTTGATGTCCCTGGCAAGCCTCAATACCATCTGAGTTTTGGTTTCCTTAACAGCATCACTACATACTAGTGCAGTGTTTCAGAAGTTCCTCCACTGTAGCCTGTCCTTGCTTCCATCTCCCTTATGCTGCCTTCTATGGTGGATCTCTGCCTTGAGTTAGTATATTGTTAAGTGTACTTGACTTCCTGAGCACCAGGATGAATCATTCATGTACTTGAAGGAAAATGTCCTCACAGACCTGCTAGATTCTCTGAACTCATTTGCCTGCCAGAGCTGCCTCTCATGGAATTCCACCTTTCAACTTCCCAGATAAGCTGAAGTCTGCCCTCCTGAAGTGCAGGCTCGGTACTGCAGAGCTTGCCTTCCTCTACCTCCTCAGGATCTTGAACTCTATCATTTTGGGGTCACTACAGCCAAGGTTTCTATTGATTATCACATTCCCAAACAGTTATCACTTAGCTAGTGAATGGCAGGTTCACTGGCTGGCCCCTCCAGTGTCTGTATCATAAATGTACCCCCAAGACAATCCCGAAGCCTCCTGGATAGCTTGCTTCTTACTACAGTGCCCTTCCAACAGATGTTAAAATTCCTGTA